GGGGGGGGGGGGGTAAAGAGAGGAAAGGGAGCGGGGGAGGGGACACAACCTTCGTTACGAAATTATAAATCGTACAGTATATATATATAGTATATGTGTACGTATGTATCTATATATCGTACGCCCGCAGGGAGCGGCAGTGTGGCACAACCATGACTTAAAAAGCGACCAACTAATCTCATGTATACGCATATATGTCGTTTATACGTTTCCTTTCTTTTTTTTTTTCCCCCATTATACGCAACTCCTGCGACGAATGTAACCTAGGATTATATATCCCGGATATATATCAGAAGACCCCCGTTAAATTCACCGTCGCCGAGAGCACCATCGCGGGCCGCGTCTCTGCCGCAACTGAACAGTCCGCGAACACACGACTTCCGGCTGTGTTCGCCTTCCTACAGGACAAGTCTTTCGCGGCAGTCTCACGAACCTCGAAGATCTCGCGCACGTTCGACGATACATAGTCCGAAAAGATTCAAATTCCCCTCAGTGTCTCCGATGTCTCGGAATCTTTCGTCACGTGTGTGTGCGAGGATAGATATAGTTAATTTAAAGTTCGCGTCAAGTATACAAATCGTTGAGTCTGATCGCACGTCATCGAGGAAGACGCGTCAAAACGCGGGTCATTTTCTTCGGCCAGTCATAGTATAAAAAAAATTTAGATGTAATCGAACGTGCGCGAAGTGTTCCAGGACTCGTAAAAGAGTTACGAACGAAGTGTGGCTGACCTCACGAATCGCTGTGCCTCCTTCGCATTAAAGGGCAGTAGATAAGAACAGTCTTGAGTCTGGCCTTCCCGAATGTGCATAATCGACTAAACCAGTCCGAAAAGATTTTATCAAAAACAAGGCAGTTTCGAGTTGGCCTTCCCCCAGGATCAAATATAAACGAACGTACCCGAGGAAGTACAATGAAAGAGCGGAAGGCCGTGAGCGAGAGAAAGAGAAAAGTCGCGTGATATGGTCGCAAGAACGAAGGAGGCGGTCCCATTTCGCGAGGCGGGCTGCAGAATTCTCGTCCGTAATTATGATCTCGAGATGATATCAATACGCGTACACCTTACACGGTAATCGAATCTATCTACTCGCGACGACGTCTCTAATTTCTATCGTAAATCGTTGCAAATTGGACCGACGACAGCACCGGGGGAAGAGTTGGCGTGCGCTTCATTTCCGCGTCTCTCGGCTGCTTTTCTCGCGGCCGCCGGCTATCGAGAGAGGCGGAAGACCACGGAAGATGACGATTTACAGGTTACACTGCCACAGTATCGTAGGGTGTGAGGAGTCCCCCGTGACCGCCGTGGGGGCCGCCGGTTTGCCGACCGGGAGCTTCGTTTCTGCAACAGGAATTTGCGTTTTTGATATCCGACGCCGATCGATCATTTTACTACGCAACAATCCCACTCATTCAAAGAGATCTCTTCTGCGCGATTGTTTATTATATGTGCAATAAATTTTTCGTTGTATTTGATTAAAAAAAATGTGTTTAGCTTTATATCACTCCCTTACTTCAAAAGTGACACAACTAAAAAAGCCATGATTTTTCAGTTTACTGTAAATCAGTTAGAATAAACATTGCTCTACCAATTATCAAAAGTAAACTTTGTAAAAAAATTATCAAAAGCCTCAAAACTTGAAAAAGATAATTAAAAGAATCATTATAAATTCAAAAAAGGTAGTTTTTCAATGATCGTGAAAATGACATTTAATCATATTAAAAATATGATTTTTACACAATATTCTTTGATTAGTCAATAATTTTCTATTAAATTGAAAAATTAATTTTTTACTTTTATGAGAAATTTTTTAATTATGTCACTTTTGAAACAAAGAGTAATATATTATACTGCTGTATGAAGAAAAGATCTCTACACGCAAATTGTACGAAAACATGCGCTATAACAAGTAGCAACGATGATGGCAGTGATAATGCTATGAATAAATAAAATATAATAATGACGATTGTAAACATGTCAGTCGTTAGCGGTGTAAGCAGTCCCGAATAGGGTTCAAAAGCGGTGATAGTAGCAGCAGCTGCAGTGGAAATACGATCAGCGTATTATCCCTATTGTACATTCTAGCTTTGCATTAGTTACACAACTACACGTTACACACATGGCATTATTCATTAAAGCTACATGCGAACACATTCGTATTAGTAAGCGTCGATGGAGATTGGGGATTTTGTCATATTCGAAAGCAACGTTTTGAAAGGTCGTCTACTCTGCTCGTTGCAAAACAAATTGGGTAGCCGAACTTCAATGGGATGATGGAAATCAGTGTAAAATGATATAACGCATCTCAAAAGCTCTTCACATGTTTTGTAACGTTTGTACATCCTGACTTGATTATGTTTAACGAACTTACGGCTTCCTGCGTAATTAGTCATGAAACAAGAAAAGATCAGACGTTCGTTAAATAGATAAATAGTTGGGTATTCGAGACTCTTTGAGGGTCGAACCACCGTGCACTCGATCGTTGTCAATCGACAATTCAATCGCGCACAAATAATCAAATATATAATGAAGGTATGTAGCGAGGATTGCGAATCGAAAGAATCGATCGATAGCGTGATTCTTTAAAGAAAAATTGAAAATCATGGAGGCGAATCGGATTGCGGTCTATGCCGCGGTGAGCGATAGTGATATATCGCTCGATTCGGAAAACGCCTGCGGGATATTTTGCCGCGGCACAATACTCGATAATTACAGCTCTCGCGGAAGTAAAATCGCTCGAGACACAGCGGCAGGAACGGTGTAACGCCATTAAAACCGTTCACCGTTAACCAAGCTCACTCGCGCTCTACTGACCTCTCTATGAGTTTACGCATCTCCTCGGTGGTCATGCCGTCCTTGCCGCGAGCATTCACTGAAATAGAAAAACACACGGCACGATTGACACAACGATTAAACTACTACGACAACACGTAACATGCAATTTGTGGAAAACTATATAAACGATTAGGATTAAAAAAGACAAAAAAAAATAAGAAAGAAAAACACATAAGTCCACGGCGAGTCTTCTTCATTCGCGACTCGCCCGCCATGCGATAAGTCCGCATAATGAGCCGCCGTACGCCTAATAATGCTTAATGCATAATGAAACGAGCATCAGTAGTAGAGCTGAATCAGAACGAGATCGTTCCTCGAGAGGGAGCATGTCACCGGACCGGCAAGATTCGAGCGGGAAAGGCGAGCTTTACGACTTCCCTGTCGAATCAGGTCGAGCTTCATGGTCTCCCTCGTTTGCTCGTTCTCTAAGCTATCGTGAATCTTTCTACTGACCGCCGTAGTTGCGGTTGACGAGCTGATCGCGATCACATTCGGCCTCGCTGATTTCATTGCTCTCCTTGCTGTCGTTGAAGCTAGAGTTATTCTGATCCTGGTGATTTCTTGGCGGCGGTGGGGGCGGTTCCGGTGAGCCAGAGATGGGAAGGTTGCGAGCCGAGCCTACACTACGACGTCCGACCGATCCGCGAGATCCGTAATGATCGTAAGGTGCGCCGTATTGTCCATACTGTGATCCATACTGGTCTTCCTCGGGAGCGCAGTTAGCGGGATCATCATATTCGGGTGAAAAGACATTGTGCGTGCCGCTACCGCCTCCTTGGGATGGTACTCGAGAGTAGCGTCCGTTTTGACGAGGCTGTAGGAAAAATTGATCGCGATTCCAGCAATAATTGTATTAGAAATATACCAGATTATAAAATCATTGGATATCTCATATCCGGATATCCGGAAAAAATGTGATAATTTTCTCTTGACTTTCTTTTTTTAGAGACTAAAGTAATCGTATATCCGAAAAATATTCGATATTCAGACAATCATTTGGATGTTAAATATTTTCCAGATATCCAGTACAATTTCTCTATTCATTAAAAAAATTATGAATTTTTCTACTAGAATACGGCTTGCAAAACTTATTTTTACGAAAATCAAAAATTTTTTAATATTTGTACAATATAATTTGCGATATTGCTTATCATTTAAACGAAAATTTAATACGAAAAAGAGTTATAAAGTACCATAGACTGAGATCCAGATCGGCTATGAGCGGAAGCGTTAGTCGGATGTCCTACGGGTGGTCCCATAGTGCCAGAATGGCCATTTCCTGGATGGGGGAAGGTCTGGAATTGCATAGCTTTGCTCGGGTCCATTTCCTCGCGGAATCCCAATAAATGGAACGTAGCATATGGGCAGATTTCATCCTCCATACCTGAAAATGGACAATCAATCAGGGTAGACTCTGCCGTTATAGACGAAAAATTTACGAGACATTGTTGAACAATACAGATTGCTATAAAGATTGCTTCCCGTGTGTAAACTTTTATTTATTAACAGCAATTTCTAAATACAATTTAATTAATTAAGAATGGAATCGAAAAAAATATTTTGCAATCCTTCTTACTATTAATTCTATATGCGTCTTATATCCAGATTTAAACGAGCAAAGAAATTCCTTTTGCTCACTTTAACGCTTCTTCTTTCCTCGATTCTCATTCTATTAAAACATTAAATCTTTAAAAATTGATCGTGCATTAAAAAGTATTTAATTGAAATGTATTTAAATAAATTTGAGTCCGATTATTTATATAATATAATTTTTGTTATACATAAAGTAATGTTATATTCAAGATTGGAAAAAGTAACGCGTTATTATTATATTACTAATAATAACATTGTTACCATTAGTAATAAGTAACAACGCATTTGTTTATTTATAATGATAATAATTATATTCTTTAAGCAATGAATATGATCATTACTTTATATGTGTATAACACATAATATATTATACATACAAAACATGGATAAGAGAACTTTGATTATATCGCGATAAATCATGACCACTATAGATCTTGTATTGAACGGATTAATTAGTGATATTAGAATCCAATCAAAATCACTTTTTTACCTTCGTCTGAAACCAAAAACGAATATTCGATTTTTATTCAATTCCAGACGAAATTGAAGTTTTTAGATAAGTCTTATAAACGCCATATAATTTTCAGAAAATCGTTGGAAAATATCAAAATATGTTAAATTTACGTATCTATTTAAAAATAAGATTTTATTAATACCTTATTATTCCTTAAATTAGAAGGAATTTCAGGTTATACTATAGATGTGGTGATGACTTGGCGAATAAAAAAGGATAAAAAGGAAGAGATAGCTCGAATGCTCGCCGGTGCGTTGCAATTTGTATAATTTCAGTTTACTTATCGAAATTTTCTCTTAATTTCGACCGAAACTAAAATCAAACCAAATCCAAAACTCCGATTTTTGATCGAAATTAACAGAAACCAAAACCAAAACCAAAATTTCGATCAAACTTTAAAACCTAGTTTCAAATTCATGGTTAACTCTTAACCGAGGTTTACATTATTCCTTATCTTTATTTTTCTAATTCTATAGAATTGGAAAAAAAGATGAGAAATAAGTTGAATCTCGGTTAAGAGTTAACCAAATTCAATGAGTTGTGAAACCTAAGTGACATAGACAATTGGATCATTTTGGATCTTTTGATCTGTACTCTTGGATCACTCACTTATAATAACGGTGATAAGTTAAGACATTTTAAAATCAGTAATGAATAACGGTAACTCTTTTTTATAAAGTAATTTACCCAACCTTTGCTATATTCTTCATGCAATTAATTAGATTGCGTTCCAATTTTAGCAGTGAATATTGCAGCTGTAACAATCTTAAACTTTTAATTATCTGATTTAAAATATTCAAAATTTCTCTTATCCATCCCCTAAAAATTCTAAAAATCGATATGACGATATAACGGACATAATAGAAACTTCTTATCTTATAGAAAAGACAATGAATAAATAAATGTAATTCTTCCCTATATGTGGTTCGTGTTATTTGTCGGCGTGCTATATGAGCGCAGGCATGCGGAAACGTGCAAACATCGAGAAACGAGACGTGCCGTTAAAGTGATGCGAGGTTTCACGAAACGAGAAGGGACTTACGAAGACCGGCTGGTACGAGCCAGCAACATCGCCGGCTCCGGCCTGAGCGATTATCAGTCTCTAGGGCGATCGGGCGAATGCCGAATGCCCGTTAACCAAAATTACTATTACCAACCTCTGTGCGAAAGACCGTCCGCGCTGCCCATACGTGGTGGTGGTGGGCATCTCCTGTTGGGCGCGTAGTGACTCAATTCCTCATACATGTGTCGCCTCGGATCCCACGTCGAGTGACTCCTTAACGAGCTAGTTCCACCTATTGAACACATACTACAAAGGTCGTACGACACGCTGGCGCCTATCAAGATTCTTTCCCGCCAACTGCCCTGTTCTCTTTAAAGAGTTTAGAGGATTTGAACTCTGGGGAGAAGGTACTCTTTATTTTCTTTTTTTTACTAACGTTTGATTAATACGCAAATTGATACAATAGACACTCGTTAGGCACCAACGGCGTGATAAGCGCAAACAAGTAGGAACGAACGTTATGTTTTCGCTGAGGGACATACAAACTCGGTAACGTATATAAGAACATTTCAAAGCATGGCGAACGAAAAAAGAAACTGGCATTGATCGTGTATATGGGTTCTGTCTGGCCTGGGGATCTGTCATCTGACTGGGAGCCTATCGTATGTGCAAATCTCGATGTGTACCTCTTGAGAAAAGATGAAAGAAGGAACTATCGTGCCGATGCGACAACAACTAAATAAGTTGGAATTGATCTAAAAGGTAAGTGTTGGCAGTTGTGGCTTACTTATAACTGTACCTCGCTTGATACGATCGCAGGTGTTGTAATTCGAGCCGGGTACAGGTGGAAGTTTGCGATTCGGAGGTGCGATGTACCCTAGTTCGTCGCGAAGATCGGATCTGCGTTTGTCCAAGGTAGCGCCGCCAACTCCGGTTTGCTGATAGACTACGTCGTCTAAAATAAAGGCGTTCGATCTAATAATTGTGAATGTATCGAGACAACAAAAAGTATCTAAATTCGGGTCATACGACGTTTTTTATGACTAAAAAAGGCAACTTAAAGACGTCTTATGTCACAATTTTAGACTTTGTGTTGTTTGGATACATACGTTTTGATACATCTGATCTTATTGTTGATGTACGAGTATTATATTAATTAGATATGCCATCACCCACGCTTGTGAAACAAAAGGAAAATGTAGGAGAGGAAAATTCTAAAATTTAATATTTGGAGAGGATTTCAAGACTAGGGTGGTCGACGCGTGGATCGATCATCAAGAAATTATCACGATGTTATTACATTACAAAATATAATTTTGTTATGATAATATCTACGACTGACGAGATTGTGATATTTTTTTCGACCAGCTAATTAATCTCGAATATCATCGAATATCAATTTCGTTTCCCGATGAACTTCCACCGTCTGTATGCGACTTAACAGGTAAAAGTAATTAAAAAAAATTGGTATACATTGTCCCTCGTAATATTTCTCGTCGGCTGAAGAGATACCTCGCAGCCGTGTTTGTTCCGGGCCTCGAGTTCTTCTCGAGAGCGCCACACAAATGACAACTATTCCTACTATTATAACAACGACCGTCGCGCCAACTGGCACTACCACGTTTACGTCGAGCCAGCTGGGTAACCATGGGAAGTACCGTCTTACATCCGCAGTGTTGTCATTACCGCCATTACGTATAGGAGGTGCGATCGTACCTGTTCAAAGAAGGAAACAGATTATGATTACCTTTATCGCTATTGTGACCCTTCCCCCTGAGAACGCAGATCACGATGACGGCAACGATTATTACAAGTATGGCTGCTACCACAGGTACGACCAGATTTAAGTTAGCCATGAAAATTTTCATTGGATCTTCGTCATTGCCACCACCGTTTACGTCCGGCAGCTCGCGGGCCGGTGCAATGGTGCCTGGAACAAAAAACGTTTCGGCGACCGCTCAATCCAGCCACCATTGGCACCGGCTACGAGGCGCCGCTGTGTGTCAGACGACCAATCATACTCACCGCCAGTCACCGTCAAAGTCGCAAATTCATATTCGGCCACGGCGAAACCGGCATTATTGTGAGCCGTAACACGCAAATGATACCAGCTAGCGGGGTCTAGATCCAATACTACAAAGTTACCGCCCGGTTTGACGTTGTTCGAGACCTGGTTCCATTCCTGCTGCATTCTGAACAAAACATGTCTCTTTAACTGTTGATCTTGATATTGGATTGGATGTTCGTTGTATGATTATCTTTTTATCTTACTTCTTCTTATGTTCAACAACGAAGTACAACATGGGGCAGCCACCATCAGACCAAGTGCTCAAGTGCAAAGAGATGCTATTCGTAGATACCTCGATGAATTTCGCCGCTTCGGGGATGATTGGTTTGGAGCCTTTTGTACGCGTGTTTAGAATGTCTGAAGGATCGCCGATTCCAATTCTGTAAGAAAACTTTCATGTGTACGAAATTTTTTTATTACAAACCTTGCATTACAATTTTAGCAGTAAAGTTACCCGTTATAAGCGGTGACATAAATCTGATATCGGGAACCGCACCACAAATTCTCGAGTGTATATTTCTGTGCTGTAGAACTGATCTGAACGGTTTCCCAATCGCCGAACTCGGGTTTGTAGTGAATCGTATAGCCGTGAATTGGTGCATTGTCCGTGGGATGTGGGCGTAATTTCATCGTCAAAGAGTTGGTGGTAGTGGCGGTAAGGGTAACTTGCGGTGAGTGTGGAGGAGCTGTGAAAACATAACGTTAATTTTAATACGTATAACGAATTATTGAAATCAGTAACTAAAATTTCCATGTGTTAGAATATTTATGTACCGTGTACGACTAGCTGATGAGTTACGGTATCGTGTCCAAAAGAGTTTTCCACGTAACAAGAATATTCTCCAGCGTCCGCGCGGTCGACTTCTTTGATAAATAGCGATCCCTCGGGTAATTGTCTCAATCGATCGGTCTGTTGAAGAGTAGCGCCTCGTACTTTCCATGTTACTTCCGGTGCGGGTACGCCGACAGTGAGACATGGCAGCTTAACGTCCTCTTTGTATGTTGCAGTGAACTTATCGTCGAACGATGCGATCTTGGCCGGTACTATAATTAAAGTGTGAAACTTTGAATACCTTTTAATTTATAACAGACTATGAAAACTTGTAATCGATTCACAAATTTATTGTAATTATTCAAAATGTGAATTTTGAACGAAAAAATTACCTCGAACACTTGGTCCCAAAGTCACAATTTTCGAAGCTTCACCTTCACCGATATTCGTGCTAGCGGTCACCCAAAATTCATATCTTAGTTGCTTGTCTAATCCAGACGCTTCGTGAGTTAGTTGATTTGGTGGTACTTTCTGACTGGTTGGCTCCTCTGCATTATCCGCTTTTGTGTAAACAGTATATTGAGAAATAACTCCGTTAGGCTGACTAGGCGGACGCCATGAGATAAGAATGGATTCCGAAGACATGACTAGAGCTTTGATAGCAATAGGAGCTTCGGGTGCTAAAAATAGATACGGAACATGTAGTATGTTCAAAAACACGTTCTTTCACATAATGAACCAATACATTAATTAATTTCTTAATTACCATCTTGCTCAGTTTGGCAGTGAATTGGTGCAGATTTAACGCCATCTCCTCCAGATGTAAAAGCCAGAACTTGCATGCTGTAGTTGGTGTATTTCTTAAGACCGTGCAGAATGGTTTCGCTTGAAGACGTGATCTTGGTGTCTTTTGTATTCTCGTCGTACCACGTGTCGGATGGTCCGTAGATGACCTAAAGCAAATATTTAAAGATGCTGCTGCAAACGGTTTTATGCCTCTCTCTCGAGTCGCGCTTTTACTAACTTTGTAACCGGTGATAACGCCGTTGGCCGCGCTGAGTGGCGGTGACACCCAGGACACTCTGATAGTCTGAGAAGTAAGAGTCGTGCAAGTAGTGTCATGGGGTGGTTGCTCGGGTACGCCTTCTGCGGTGTGTTGCCTGCGTTCCTCGCTCATTGGTCCGGAGCCGACTTTATTAAATGCTTGAACGACTACGCCATACTGTGTATAGGTCTTGAGGTTTGCGATCTGCAAGTGATGTTCCTTTGTGTCTTCTTTGGAGAAATCGACAGTCTCAAACATGTAAGGTTTGTCTGACGATTGTCTGTATCCAACGTAGTAGCCGAGAATCTCACCATTCCAGTCCTCGCGTGGAGGCGGTTTCCACGTTACCTGATGAAATTTACATTTATTGCACATATATTCCCAAACGCCTATACAACGTTCCAATAGCAATAATATTACGAATGTTATTGAAACGCTCTGTGTATGGGCAATTACAATGCAATTGTTCTGTTTACCTTTAGCGTGTGCTGATCAAGAGCATCCACCTTAATAGAAGTTGGTGGGCCAGTAGGTGCTTCTTCTGCAGTGATAATGGTGACCGTGTCAGACGGATCAGATGTGCCAATTTCGTTTTCAGCGACGATTCGAAGGTGATAGGTGGTCGCGGGTCTTAGATTATATACTCCGGCTACATTCTGTTGCGAGCCAGGTACGAGCACTCGATCAATATCAGTTTCCCAGGAACCCTTGCTGATTTTGTATTCAATAACATATCGTTTAATTGGACTGTTTCCATCATAAGGCGCGGCCCATGATAATTGCACTGAACGTCCTGATTTATCCAACACTTTAAGACCATATGGAACTTCCGGCACCTCTATAATAAACACATAAATTAGACCGTGACTCACATATTTTGTTGATTTATCAAGTATAATATGTAATTATATGAACCAACCTTGTACGATCATATTAATGCTAGTGTCATCACTACCGAAAGCATTCGTAGCTACGCAAGTGAACAAGGCAGAATCGCTCCTTTCGGTTCGTTTAATGCTCAAGTCGGACAGTACCCCGTTAGCCAAGATTTCTTCACGAATAGTATAACGAGGATCGCTTTTCGTATCTAATCTCTTGTTGTTCATGTTCCATAAAATGCCGATTGGTTTCTCTCCTTGCGCCTCGCATTGCAATACAGCTGGTTCTCCACGACGAGCGGTTTGGTTTCTTAGTTTAATTTCAAATTGCGGAGGAGCTAAAAAAATATTACAAAAGATGTATAAAACGCAAGAGAAATTACAAGATGTAAAATGACTAAACGTGAGATACCTTGAACCGAAATAAGAATGACAGCTGATAAGCCTGACCCAATTCCATTAACAGCCTCACAAAGGTAATAGCCTTCATTCGTCTTTTGTATATTGTTAATGGAGAGAGTGCCATCTTCCACGCTAATGTCAGGGTTGCTCAATTTCAAATCGGTATAATCTCCCGGCGTATCCCCTATGACAGACATGTATAATTAGTATATGCAAGTAGAAAGATTTATTGTTTGTCAGGCTGCGATTGCTAGTCTATACTTACCAGCAGCTCTCTTCCACGTGACCTGAGGCTTAGGAAATCCATCGGCTTTGCATTCTACTCGTGCATCGGATCCTTGAGCAAATGCTTTATCGGTAGGTTCCAGGATCCAACGAGGAGGTACTGTTATAGAATAAATAGATTAGCCGTGATATACTTTTGCGTACATAAGATTGTGCAGTATCCAGGAGCCAGTCGCTTGAAGACTCGAGTCATTTACTTTTCAAAAGCTTTAAAACTTATCATTTACAGTAATATATATACATATGTAAAATTATTGTTTATAATTTAATTGATTCAAACAAGTGTATTAATCTGTAATAGTAATAGATAATATTACACTGTATTGTTTGCTTTTCTCTTTAAATTCTATGAAATATTTAAAATAACAATAAAAATAAATAGAAAAATGGGTTTTTTAATTTTGTTAAAATTAAGTGTTTGTATTTAAAATAAGTTACTGAAATTGCCGCAAAAATTATTCTTATATAAATATCAGATATTAGAAATAGTTTTAAAATCGTTAAAGACTCGAATTGTAGTAATTTTGCATGCAGAATAAAACGCGACACGCTCCTGCTACTGCGATGAATATAATGTATGGCATGCGGGATTCTGAAGTGGTTATGCGGGTAATGCATGGAACAGAGAGAAAGTGAAAGAGAGAGACAGAGAAAGAGAGAGAGAAAGAGAAACTACGGTTTTTAAAGGAGCCTAACGGCGAGCATGCACGAATACTCGAGTGCACGGTGCATCATGCTGTACCGCGTTTACGAATAATACTCGATTACGCTCGTTTATGTATATAAATGCATGCATATTGAGTATCTACACTACATACGCGTCTACAAAATGAACAAGGCAAAATGTGTGATGAGAGATGGTGAGGGGTCGAGGAGGGACGTGTTTGGGGGAACATTCGTGGGTATAGGGTTGTGATGAATTGATCGTGGGGTGAATTCTGAGATGTGGTTGGATGGTCGGTCGGTCATCTTAGTACAAGGACGCGTTTTAGCGCGAATGGGGGTACGGTGAGGTATAAATCGACACTCGAACGTACACGAGACGGATCATATATGCAACTTGCATGTGAAACCTACGCAATCCTGCGATCACAAAAAGTGGCATTTAGATCGTATGTGCTACGGGAACGGCGAACGCGTTCGTGAAGGATGTAGAAACGCGATGAGATTCGCGTGCGAAAGGAAATCACATCCTGTCGCGTTATTTCGCCGCAGGGATGATGATCGAAGCCAACGTAAAAAGTCACACAAGAGCGGCTGACGATGAGAATAATAAGATAACGAGGCTGCAAAATAAACGAGGAAAGGCCAACGGCTATGGGCAAAAGCTACTGATTCTCGGAGCACGAAAGAAACTCCGATTGAGCTTCGTTCGCTTGAAATACCGGCGGATATACATAGTAAAGAGGAAATTACAGCGGTGAGAAGTAAATATAGACAGAGACAGAAAGAAAGAGAAAGAGGCAGAGATAGAAAGTATGAAAAGAAATAAGTAGCAAGATATAGCGAGAGAAATAGTGTACGCGCGAGAAGGTCGTCATCGGTGACAAAAGCAACGCTTTTTGTACAAGTTGAGCTGAGCGCGAGCTCCAACTAACTGAAATTCCAGAAAGCTTTCGCCAACAGGGGAAAAAACACATGATCAGCGTCACAGCAACGATGAATAAAATGCAACCAATCAAGCCTGCACTTAAATACTCGCGTGGGATCCGCGTTTCTTTTTTTTTTTTTTATTTATTATCATTCCGAAACTTTTCGCTCAACCATTGTTATCAACGTCATGTCATTCTCAGTGCTCCGTTCTTTACTCTGGACCTAACCGTGGACTCGTAAGGTTGCCTCGTGGATCGCTCTGCCCGACGGATTACTAGCAACACACGCGTAACATCCGCCATGCTCCGGTGTTACCGGCTCGATCAGTAGTATACTCGTCCGTGGGCCGAGTTTCCCGACGCTGAATCCCATGAACTGCGACAACGGTTCGCCCTCGTGGGTCCAGGCGATCTCGATTGGCGTGTCGCCTATCGGCACCATGCATGCCAATTGGGCGGCTTGCCCGGCATAGATCGGTCGATCTCCAAAATCGAACGGACTGATCCGTGGCAGGACTGTAACGGAACGGCAGATAGATCCAAATTCCCGTAACGATCTTCATTCCAGTTTCTTCGCGATCGATGCGAACGATCGTGGTTGATCGTCTGTCGTCGTCTGAATTCGTTTTCTGTAATACGCTCTTCCGTCCAAGAATCTAACGTTGCTTTCTCTCATTTTATATTCGGCGTGCTGCTATATTCTCCGTAGATTGCACGGCAAATAATCGATGACTCTAAATTCTAAATTACATATAAATTGCGTTGGAATAATCGGAACTGGCAGTCCTTCGATTAAATCGACTGACTTTGGTAACCGAGCTGTCGAGATCAGAGAAGGGATGCGGAGTGATAGAGAACGTGCCAGAGAATGAGAGACAGTTCTGGGCCGGGAGAGAATGGGGGACACACGGCTCATCTCATAGTAATCGACGCCTCGTACGTGATTCAAACAGACGTGGGCACAAACTACTCTCGCCTATACGAATCAACTAAATAGTTTAACCTCGTTACAAGGAAGATAACTCTCTATAGATAGAAAGGAGGAGTATGCGTCGAGCAATGCAGATTTCCAGACACACATATCTCGTAATATCATTACAATACAGTTAGGACAGACAGATTGGAGATTTTACGACGTACGTGAAGCGGCAGCAAGGGTCGTAAATCTAACATATCGAAACGTTCTACTGATAGATATAAATATATATATATAAATATAACTACAACCGAATAAAAGGGTAAACGTACCACTGCTTTCCGCTCAAATAGTAACACGCATACAAAACGGTAGTACTCTCACTACGCGTACGCCCGTTAAACACCATCATCATGCCGCGCGGTTTCGCTTTGTGTTAAAGAAAATATACGTATATATATGTATTTTTTAATCTTATTCTGTTTATTACTGGATGCTTTTGTGATCGTGTGTTCGTTTTCTCTGTACCGTTCACTTTCAGATGGGCGCTGTGCCGAGCACTGCCCGCTGGATTATCGGCGACGCAAGCATACTCCCCGGCGTGCTCCCCCCTGACAGCGGGAATCGTCAGGGCCGAGACTCTATCCCCCAACGCGGTGATACCCACTCCTTCGCCTACCTCTAAATGGCGGCCCTCGAACAACCACTTGAGCGAAATCGGCGTGTCTCCCTTCACGACCGCGCAATGGACGATTATCAGATCGCCGGAGTTGGCCTCGTCGAACGCGAACGGCTGCAGATGTGGAGCGACTGCCAGGAGATAGAGAACGGATAGATACTAGAGACAACAGGCAATAATAGATGAAGAGAGAAAGAGAAAAAGAGTAAATGAGAAAGAGAAACACGCGGGCGAGAATAAATGTCTCGCTTATCGAGGCGAATTTGCGCCGCGTGAGATTTAAGACGCGATATCATTGGGCGCGATTAGTTCGGTAATTGTAACAGCTGCTCTCGTGTCTGACCGCATAAATGGCGATTACAACCTAAACTATGTCGCACAAAGATTGTTAAGAGCGCGACGGATATTTGAACAAAAATTGATTTTGAAACGAGTGTCTACGGGAAGAAGCGGCGGTCTAGGATGACGGATAGGGAAGCAACTTGGACAAGGGATAGAGGAGAATTCGCAAGACTCAACGAAATATCGAGTAGATCCTTGCGGATCAGTGTATGCACCGTTCACAATGAGATCGGCCGACAACTCGTGTCTGCCGGCAAGGTTTTCCGCGACACACGTGTACGTTCCAGCATGGGTCGCCTGGACGGATCCTATGCTGAGTATGGCGCCACGTCCGCCCAAATCCACGATCGAGATTCCGGAGTGCGGCAAGATCGCATGACCGTTTAAGGTCCAACGGAGCTGCAAGGGTTGATCGCCCTCGACCACTGCGCACGGTACCGTTACTACTTGACCTGAGTTAAGCGGCTCCTCGCCGAACGCGAATGGCAATAATTTCGGAATGACTGGAAGAGAGAAAGAGAAAGAGATCAGAGAAAAAGAGAGAAAGAGTCTTGAAACCGCAGACTACATCAGCACAGGTGGAATAACGCGATTATTAGATCGGCGATAAGAAGTCTCGCGTTATCTCGCGAAACGTTTTTGCTTCATTTGTCCTCTCTTCGTTTCTTCTTCCATCCTTTTATTTTTAAATTTGTGTTATGACGAGCGTGTCATTCTTGTATTGTATGAGGGTGCTATTTCATTTGTTCGTTTTTGTCATACGACAAATGTGTGCAAGACAGAGAGATCCTCGGATCCTTATACCAGTTAACACGTTTGAAAAATTTGTTGTATAACAAAAACGCACAAATGTAATCTCATCCTAATGCTGTATGTTTCGCGATGCTGATCAATAATAAAATCAAAAGAATAAACAGGCATGTATAACCAAAGAAAGTGAGAAAAAAAGTCATGTTCAATGTTTGGTGACTAAAATGACAGTGACGGGCTCTAGAAAACACAGACACACGTCGTGCTACGAGTAATATGAAAAGCGAAGATACGGAGAAACTCAAAGAGAAATAACGACATGGGATAAAAATATAAAATGAGGACGAGGTCTCGAGAGACTCGTGAAAAATACTCGGAAAGGTGGATAAATCAGATGAGGATAAATTCAGACGAAAGATTGCTAAATACAGAAATGCAAATTGTGGCCATAGGTTTGTCGAAAGGTCTACCATTCACGTCCAACATGGCCGAATAGGAGGTCGATCCAGCTGCGTTTGAAGCAACGCATGTGTACTCCCCGGCGTGTCGCGCAGCTACTGATTCGATGGTCAGTTGTTTGACGCGCTTTCTGGTATCAGACACGATCACGTCGCCGTGATAAGACTGTATAGGACGGTTGTCAAAGATCCACGTGATCTCCAGAGGAAAATCGCCTTTGGTCACTACGCACTGCTCCGACACCAGATCTCCGGCATTAACGGGTTCCTCGCCGAAGGAGATCGGTGCTATCTGTGGGGAGACTGCGATACGAAAAAGAAGATAAAGCATATGATTCGAGAAAGATGGAAAAATCACGCATAGTTATCTTGCGAAATCCAACGAATACATGTTTGAATTTCTTAACCTTGAGATTTCACAAATGTGAGGGGCGAATAGTTTTTGCGATTTTTGTATAAAGATACGAGAGGAACAAAACTGAAGGTAACTTTGGTTTTTCATGATGTGGATCGATATTCAAGGACAGATTCTGATAGCTCTAATGATTTAAATTTGTTATTGGAAAGGATAGATTTCCAAGTACTTTGCGGGATAAAGTGCTGGCAATGACACTACGTCTTGACATGCGGCTTTTTGTAAATACCATTGACCGATAAAACGGCGGAACGGCTGACGGATCCGACCAGATTGCTCGCAACGCAGCTATATTCGCCAGCATGACGGGCAGTCACAGATTCAATGGTCAGGAGGGATGTTTTTTTCCCGGTATTTGTGATTATTACGTCCGGATGATTGAGACGCGTAATAATTTCGCTATTAAGGCTCCACCGTATTTCGATCGGTAGATCACCCTTTAAAATGCTACATACTGCAGAAACTTGCTCTCCCCAATTAGCTGGTTCTTCACTGATAGAAAATGGAGCAATTTGCGGGGCGACTGAAAACAATCGCAGAAAATGATCAATATGATGTAACGGTGTATATAAAAAATATATAAACTTTCCTTTTGCATAAATCAATTGGAATCGTAGAATTTATATTCATCGTCGAGCAAACGTACCCCGCTTTCAACGCTTTCGACGTTTTTTTAACGATCTTAATAATTTGCGTGTCTCATTGCTAAACTTTCGTGTTCGTACAATTGTCGTGTTATCAATTATACCTCACGCGACGGGACGGTTTTAGAGGAGTGCCATGTTATCGTTGTGTACGCGAGGATAGGAGAACAGTTTCGTCTAGGTACGTTATGCTTGCAAGCAGAATCTCAAGCTCAATCTCTCGATCGCAACGAGGCACTTCATTTCATGCCATGCCAGTACCATTCACAGCCAAGGTGGCGGAATAACTCGTCGCTCCGGCAGCATTCGAGGCTGTGCAAGTATACTCCCCGGCGTGTCTCGGACTCGCAGCCTCGATTGTCATTAGACTGACTCGCTTGCTGGTGCTTGATATCGATATATCTCCGTAATTCTCCTTGGTGATAGCCTCGCCATTCAACGCCCACGATACTTCGATCGGCAGGTCTCCCTTCACAACCGTACAAACCGACGAGACCGCTTCGCCCCAATTCGCGGGCTCGTCACTGATCGAGAACGGCGCTATCTGCGGAGCGACTGAAAACGATTTTCCAAAGTATGACAATCCTATTCACAAACAAATTCATTGAATTCGAACATCTCTGTGTACCACATGAGAAAAACCATTGCAAAAGTGCCTCTTATATTGAGAATACCTATAGAAAAATATTTTTCTAATTGTGATCTAATTCATTAACTCGATATTTATTTAATTATTATTTTATGCTCTTCTACTAGTATATTTCTATCGCGATATATACTTATCTTCCTATAAATAATATAATAAATAATAGACTTTAATTCGAGAAAAATATAAAAATAGTCAAGTTCAGTGACACCTATTCATAACGCCGTTGCTTCGAGCTGACGTGATAAAATAGTGCAAAACGTCCGCGAATGCGTGATAAGGCCAGATAACAGACAAATATACGTCCTCATCGTACTCCCCATACTCGACAAAGCGCAAGGGAATGTTGAAAAGATTATGAGCACTGGTGAAGGAGTTGAAGGAGATGTGATGAAAAGGAGGGACGGTTTTGTCTTCGCCCGGCGAAGGAAGAATAGTCGAAATGTCGTCGCGTATATACACGTGTATGTACACATGCGCGCGATGTTACCGTTCACGGCTAGAGCGGCTGTATGGCTGGAGGCTCCGGCTTTGTTCGACGCGGTGCAAGTGTATTCGCCGGCGTGTCTAGCCGCGACAGCATCGATCGACAGAACGCTGAGGCGCTTGCCCTTCGTGATAGAGAACTGATCTGTACTCTCGGCGGATATCGGCTCGCCGTTGAACGCCCAGGTAATGTCCATCGGGAAGTCCCCCTTGAGAATGGAACAGGTCGCAGAGATCGCCTCGCCCGAGTTTACCGGCTCGTCGCCGAACGTGAACGGGAAGATCTGCGGAGCAACTGCGATCGCGAGTCGCGCGTGAGAATCGATAAATAATATCCACGTGTCGGTAAAATCCCCTCACGATTCTTACGGTCTTTTTACGATCCTCGTGAGACGGTCGTCGGGAACGATCACGCGGCAATTAGGAACAAGGGTGTCGTATCATGAGATTAAGACAATGCGATGAGGCAGGTTTTGATGATCTATGAATCGCAATGATGGATTAGGCAAGTGCTATACGACGTTTAGCTGACGTGCATGTGTGCTTCTGGAAATATGTTAGATACCGTTGACGACGAGGGTGGTCGAATGGCTGACGTTGCCGGCTCTGTTCGTAGCTACACACGTGTACTCGCCCGCGTGCCTCGCGGCCACGGATTCGATGCTGAGAGCACTCATATGTTTATTTATGTTCGTGATCATAATATCAGAATCATGCACACTAATCGGTTTGCCGTTAAACGTCCAAACGATCTTTACAGGAAAATCGCCTTTCATAATGGAACATGTCGCCGAAACCATATCACCCCAATTCGCCGGTCCGTCACTGATCGCGAAAGGCCCTATGTGCGGCGCAACTACAATATTATAATATTATAATAAATCAGAGATAAATTTCATGTCAGATTTAACTTTATCTAAAGTAATAAAGAATAAATATTGGACTTATGATATAATTAAATGGCAGCTTAGAAATGTCATGATCTTGCTCGTAGAATATTAATGCTTTCAACAACGCGTTTGAACTGTTCCTAGTATCGTTAAAATAGGAGGAATTAATTAAGGAGGATTATCAACGAGATTTTCAACATTAAGTTGATAATATCTTTTTTCGTGATTCCGCACAAAAGAAAGGAATTGAAGGAAATCGTGGAAGTGATGAATCGCTCTGCACATGCACGGTAGGACGAAATGAGGAAAGCTACTCGAAACACAAGACGTGGGAGACCTTTATACCATTCACGGCCAGTGATGCGGAATAACTCGTTCCACCAGCAACGTTGCTAGCCGTGCAGGTGTATTCCCCAGCGTGGCGTGCCGTCACGGCATCGATCGTAAGCAGGCTAACACGCTTGCCGGTATTAACTATCAATATATCGGGATGATCTCGAGAAATTGGCTCGCCGTTGTGTGCCCACTCAATCTGGATCGGGTGATCGCCCTTCAACACCGTGCAAGTTACAGTGATGGTGTCACCCCAATTCGCCGGTTCCTCGCCGATCACAAATGGCATGATTTCAGGGGCAACTAAGGATATGTCTTAATTATAGCCCTATTCTACTTTCGTCCAATTTTAAATACGATTTGTCACCAAATGTTTATACAATACCATATTACACCTAAATTTAATAATTGTAATATGTATTATAGATAAAAACTATATGTATATATATTTAAATCTCTCTCTTCATCTTGTGATATCATAAACATAGCCTGTCTCTTTCGTTAAACCTGAGAACGCGAAGGAGCATGAGGACCTCTTGGGAATGAGTGTGTAAGTAGTATCAGTGTCAAGCTATGTAAGTGGAAGACCCATACATGCACTGTAGAATTAATAGAAACTTCGAAGAATGTAATGTGGTACCGTTGACGGCTAAAGAAGCGGAATAGCTCGTTCCACCGGCAGCATTAGTGGCTACGCAAGTGTACTCTCCGGCGTGGCTAGCCGTAACAGCATCGATCGTGAGCAGGCTGACGCGTTTGCTGGTGACAATTGTTATATCAAAAACATCGTGAGAAATCGGCTGGCCGTTGAGCGCCCACTCGATCTGTATTGGTTGATCTCCTTTTAAAATGGTGCATGTCGCGGTGACTGTCTCTCCCCAATTCGCCGGTTTCTCACTGAGTACGAAAGGAGCTATCTCCGGAGCAACTAAAGTGGACAAATGACCGATCGTGTAACAACTAATCTACTGCAAGTTAATGATATAACGCTGACAAGTATAAGTATAATAATACATGTCTTTACGATTTGACAATACTTCGAAGACCGCAATTGACCATCGACGATGATTTTGACCGAAGCAGGATGGGGAGAAGTAATAATGACAAATAATGTGGAAGATGATAGGATATAGAGGACAAATGCATAGGGAATCTCTCAGACAAGATGTACCGTTCACAGCTAAAGTCGCTGAATAACTGGTCGCTCCAGCTTTATTCGATGCCGAGCACGTGTATTCTCCTGCGTGTCTCGCAGCCACGGACTCGATGCTGAGGATGCTATTCTTCCGCGTTGTCGCCAAGATATTAATGTCCGAACGATCTGGCCGAATAGGTTCACTGTTCAAAGCCCACGTGATCTCGATCGGTAAATCACCTTTGAGAATGGCGCACACCACGGAAATGGAATCGCCCCAGTTGGCTGGTTCCTCGGCGATAGCGAACGGTGCAATTTGTGGTGCAACTGCAACGGGTTTTACGTGTTTTTTCCCCTCTTTTTTTTTCTTTATATAAATCGTCAATCTTTTTGACAATTTCTTGAGATGACAACACTAGAGAAAAATTTGAAGACGAAGAGAAAATGAATAGAGTTGTCAGAATAGCTGTCGTTACCTTTTCCGATTACGCACGCGAATTTCAATCGGGAAGAAAAGGGCGAGGAATATAGTAGGAAAAAACGAATCCAAGATCAACATTCTTTTCTAACGATTGTCGTAGATACCGTTAACTGTCAACTCTGCGGAATAAGTGATTGCGCCGGCAGCATTGGAGGCAACGCAAGTGTAAGTGCCTGCGTGACTTGGACTCGCAGAATCTATAGACAGCAGGCTGTTCCTCTTGGTAGTGGTCACGGATATTCGATGATTCTCCTCGATAGGCATTCCATTCAATGCCCACGTAATATCTAACGGGGTGTCCCCGTTAACCACTGTACAGACCGCCGATACAGAGTCACCCCAATTTACCGCTCTATCGGCCATTTCGAAGGGTGCGATGCGCGGCGGTACTGTTAAGGTCATAGAAAAGCTACGTCACATTGAACCAGAATAAGAAAAATGACTCGTAAAAAATTATCGATAGTGACAATCTTGGTCTTTTACCATTCTTTCTCGAGATGCTAGAAGAGATTTGATGGAAAACTCAATAAAGGACTTCAATGATATTTTCAACTATGTGATTATTATTAACTACATCATGAAGTTGTGATGCCTTTACTATACACGTAATTTTTCCTGGGTGTCACAAAATGCTAAAAAAAAACATAGCCCGGTATTACATGCGTCCAACCAACCACCCAACCGTCATTGATTCAAACTGGCCAAGCATACCGTTCACCGAAAGAACTGAAGAGTGGGTAGCAGTTCCGGCCGTGTTGCTCGCAGTGCACGAGTACTCGCCCGCGTGTCTTGCGGCTACCGATTCGATCGTCAGTTGGCTGGCCCGTTTGCTACTCCTGCTTATCACTATGTCGGGATTGTAATTGTGTTCGTCGAATGCGCCATTCGCGATGTCGATCACACGCCCGTTAAACGACCAGATTATGTCAATAGGCAGATCACCTTTTATCACGGCACATTGCACGGTCGCCATTTCTCCCGCATTGGCAGCTTCGTCACCAAAAGTGAAAGGTGCCAGTTGCGGTGCAACTGTAACCGCGAAGGGCACATTCGTGAATCACACGTAGGAGCTTCCGGAGTGGCGCAACAAGATAACGGAAATGTTACCGAATCACTCAGAATCAAATTAGATGTCTCATAAAATATCACCTTTGAATCTTCAGAGGGAAGATCGGGGAAGGACAAGGAACGATTTTCAATAGAGAACATCGAACAATGTTGTAACGATATACATTATGAAGCGATACAGGAAAAGACTTTCAAATAAAATAAGAACAAAAGTAAAGAAAAAGGTTCAAACGTAATAAGAACAAAATAAAGGGAAAAATATACAAGGACCATCGTTTCGCTGTCACTGCGGGATGGACCGTACGTTGTCGTTTATAACAATAATCTCGCTGCTAGAAGTATATTACGCAGGATTATCGTCTCGACAATAACAGTGAGCGCGAAGAGCGGTGATTACTCAATTGATATGTTACTGCAGAAGTGGAAGAAGTTACAAAAGGATAATAAAACTGTATGTATACAAGGCATACGTATATGTAAGGCAGTGCGTTTCTTTTTACATATACGAGCGCGGTACCGTTCACCGAAAGTACAGCGGTGTGACTGTCGGATCCGGCAGCATTGGTCGCAGTACATTTGTATCTTCCAGCATGTCTCGCCGCCACGCTGTCGATGCTCAAGAAGCTGACTCTCTTATTGGTCACGATACTAACATCCGGCCGACTCGAGTTGATTGGGATGTCGTCGAAAGTCCACATCAATTTTACAGGAAAGTCACCTTTGACGATCGTGCAAGAAACCGACAGCATCTCGCCGGAGTTGAGGGGATCGTCACCGAAGGAAAACTGAAGGATCTGTGGCGCGACTGCGTGAACGACAGCGGCACAGACGAAGGAGTATAATGACAGACAAAGGAAGGTATAACAAGAGATAGAAAATGTGACAGTGATCGGTGATAGGATAAAAAATATGTATGAGTGAATTTTATACGAGTTAAAAATTTTCTTGCACTTTTTTATTAATATAATAAAAGAGAAAAAAATGGATAAAATTTTAATATTACGAGATTGTTAGTAAATTCGTAACAGAAAGTAATAATTAGTAATTAATAGTGTAAAAGAAGTTGCGTATTTTTGTGTTGATAATTGTTAAGTGTTTAGTGATCAGCTACGATAAACGATCGTTTTTGAATGATGCTTTAGGAAAACGAGGAAAATGCATGACAGACGGGACGAGCATTCATTTCTTCTGTGAGAATCGATTGCATATACCGTTTACAGCCAGATGAGCCGTATATGTCGTGGCACCAACACGATTGGATGCAGTACAGGTATAATCGCCGGCGTGTCGAGCCGCGACCGATTCAATTGTTAAGACACTGTTCTTTCGGTTCGTGCTGCCTACTACTACGTCAGAGTCGCGACTGTCGATCGGCATTTCGTTGAAAGTCCAAGTTATTTCGATAGGCTGATCGCCCTTCGTGACAGAGCAGGTGATTGAGACCAGCTCGCCCCAGCTGGCCGGTTCATCCCCGAAAGCGAAAGGTAGTATTTGCGGGGCAACTGGAAAGAGCGACTGGGAGAAACGAGACAAGAAAGAGCAAATGTCGATTCGTAATACGGCGCATTTCTTAATCGCGTAAATTCGCTGGCATTTTTACGTGTATCGATATTATAACGTTTGTTTCAGCTAAGTGCGATCCATATGGACTGCTAGATGAGGTTGGTATGGCGGTAGAGATATGTATCTTGTTTTATCGAGAAATCTTTCGGAAGAGATTTTTAGGATAATGGGTTGAGGCGGGCTCGATGGACGGGAGAACTTCAGGTTCGTGATGGTTATTATGTACTGTGAGTTTATATATGTAACGGAAACCGTGCCGAGGGGATTAGGGTCGTACCGTTGACGGTCAAAGTTGTCGATCGACTGACGGAACCAGCTAAATTTGACGCGGAGCAGGCGTACTCTCCGGCGTGGCGCGCCGAGACGCCGTCGATGCTGAGGGTGCTCAAGTGCTTGCTGATTCTGGTAATCGTGATACCCGTGTCTTTCGATGTGTCGATCGGTACGCCATCGAACGACCACGATATGTCCATGGGCATATCGCCCTTCAAGATCGAGCAGGGCACGGACACGGAGTCTCCCCAATTGGCGATCTCGGCATTGAAAGCGATTGGTAGAAGCTGCGGTCCGACTAAAGGTGTCGTCAAACAAATCATGCTTCATTACTGAAAAGGATGCAACGGCGTCTGCGAATGATTCTCGGTGATTCTAACAAACACCTGTGCGTTAGTCAACTACCCGTCGACTACGATCTCATTAAAGCTTTCAAAGGATTCAAGTAGGCAGAGGATTTAACAACATTGACACGGAGGCGTGACAAACGAGGAAATAACTATGGTGCTATTTGCAAGGTCTGTGCAAGGAACAAGATAATAAGGTGATAAAACGCAACTGAAGAATGATAAAGACTGTGTTCTCTAGGAACAGATAATCCCGAACCATTGACGGTGAGGACGGTCGAGTAGGACGCCGTTCCAGCCGCATTTTCGGCGGTACAAACGTACTCCCCCGCATGTTTCGCGGTGATGACCGAGATCATGAGCATGCTAACGCGATCCGCGACCTTCTTCGCGAGTACGCCGGAGGAGCCGCCCATCTCTTCTCCGGGATAGCTCCAACGTATGTTCAACGGCAGGTCGCCACTTGATACGATACACTGTAGATTCGCAAATTCCCCGGCATTCATCGGTAGCTTCGTGAACGCGAACTCCTGAACGATCGGCGGCACTGAAGATGGAGGAGCGATGTATGGATGTATACGATTATACACGTCCCGCGTCAATGTGCCACGCTCGTGGATATCATAGACATGTTATATTCATTCTCGAGTTGCAGCGGGAATATTCCGATTGTGCGATATTGAAGATGTACAATTTTCTTTCTCAGTTAGAACGCTGAAGTTTGATTCTGTCTCAAGTATGTAAATTCAATATATGTCGCGGAAAAACTAGGTATCTTATCTCATTGTTAGCGTGAAACAATGCTTATAACACGCACGAATGCATGGCATTTGTTGCTACACGAGACGGTCGCGCAGTGGGAGAAGAGAGATCTGAATTGAAAACAAGCGCAACATTTTTCTTACTAACGATTCAATCGGCCACCGCCATACCAACTCCCAGACTTTCCACGAATGCGTGTCCTTTCTGTAGATCGATGTACGTTTGCTCTACGTTATTAAATGGTCGGTAACGTCTACTAAATGCAGTTTCCGAATCCGTGCCCGTGTCCTACAGTCGCACCCTTTAGAATCTACGACAGGCTCCCTATACGCGTGAAACGACATCCTCAATAAACAAGTCGGTACCTCCGACTTGATATCACAATCAATACGGAACGGTGCGATATAACAAAATTTATTGTTGATTAATATGACAGACACGACAATCTGCTGTAAAGAGAGTAGCTGTAAATAAACGTTTGCTATTCTAATATTATTATAGCTAATACATCTATTTCGTTGATCGGTCGGTTTGTTGATGACTGAAAATATAAATACCCTTTGTTTTCGAAATTATTTAGAGGACAGATTATTTTAATCGATAAATAATTAATTGCTAAACAGAACATAAATTGTTCTACGTATTATTGCGTATACTATTTGTGCTAAATGTATTATATTTAAGATCATTATATTAATGATAGGGTAAACTTTCTTTGATTTACGAATATTTTGTTACATTTAAATTTTCCATCTTAATATTAAATAAATTTTTCATTAAAACTCAATTCTCTTAACAAGTTCCGTGCCGCGTGGATCACCAGTGACGCACGTTAGACTTTCAGTTTAGATCAGAAGATATTTTGAAAAATAGAGATGAAAAAATAGATTTTTTTTATTTTGGAGAAAAGTATCAAGTAAAAATAGGTTTCGTAACCAAATGGTGTAGAATTCATAAAAAAATATATAGAATTTATATAATAAATACATAGAAAATAATATAGAAATCCTTTTTCTTAATCTTTATTATTAAAATGTTTTATATCTATGTCATTTCTATATTATTTAATTCGTCTTTACAATTTCAAATCAAGGCGGAAATATTCTTGCGTTAATTGTTGCAGTGCCTTTGAGTTTATATTGTTTATTAAGAATAAATAACTATCGCTTATAATTGTTTAAACAACAGATATTTTATATTTTATTGTAATTTCAAAAGCTATTAATCAATGGCTTATACTGTTATTAATACAGATAATATTTTTTATTAGCATAATTAACATTGTTTATTGTGTTGTATATTAGCTGTATGTACTCTAAATTTTTATTATTGAGACAAAGTTCCAATAGAATATTGATTCAATAGTTTGACGAACGCTTTTTAATAATTTATATTTAGAATATGTACAATTATATACAACAAAGTAGCGTTAGTTATTCTAATGAAGTATCATGTATATGTGTTAACAATAGTTTGCAACTCTTACTGAACTTTTAAAATCGGAGTACAATGTAAAATATTATCCGAATAATTATAAACGGCAGTATGCTTAAATTCATGACAATCATGACCACTGTTACTTAGTCACTGTACTATATTTTCACTTTTAGAGCTAGATATATTTACACAGAAATCTTTTAGATGAATGCAAAAACTAAATTCTAAAATAACAGTACGTCAAAATTGTTATATGCTCTAAAAAAATATATATCTGATTTTGTAAATAAAAATATTTGTAGAGACTCCAAGGAAAATACCGGTGCTTATTGAACTTTCATCTAAAATTTCTAGTTTTTTTCGGTTATTTTCATCTCTATTTGACTTTAAAGAAACATATGACCATAAAACACTTTTTAATATCATGTGTAAACATAATTATAATGTTTAGTACAATATATTAACGTGAGTCCGACGATCCATGTGAAATTAAATAATTATTAATAACTATTTATATAAAAAAATATCATCTTTACAATAATTTTATTAAATGTAAATTTTATCAAATAAATATTTAATAAAAACTTTTTTGCTTTGTTTCTGTATTGCATTTTGTATATTAAACCTTCTACTTTTTAATACTTTTGTCATTTTTTAGTCATTATGTAATAAATTTCATTTCACAAATTTGGAAACACGGTAGTATCTCAACGCTAAGTGTAGCCAAGTGCAGCGACACTATATAATAATTATTATATGTCGCGTGGGTCATCGATGATAAATTACGAAAAATTTGATTCGACACGGAACGTATTAAATGTCAATAATTCTTTTACTTGTAAAATACTATTTTATTATATGTATGTAAAATTAATATTTGTATAAAATTGAAATATTGTATGTGAAGAAAAATGCTAGGAAAAGAAAATGTTAAACTTACCCATGACTTGAACTTCCAGTGTTCCACGTGCACTGTAACCTTGTGCATTACGTGCCACGCAAGTGTAGGTTGCCTGGTCGCTCATTCGTTCAACATTCTCGATGATGAGTGTGCCATTAGGAAAGACCTTTTGTTTTCTGTTGATTGGCAGGACTCTGGTATCTCGTTCCCAAACGATACTTTCGATTGGGTATCCAGCAACAGGGCAAGTGACACGTAAAGTTTCTCCAGCAACGATAGCCTTCTTGTCCATGTGACGAATAAACGGCAAACCATAAACGTTGAGGCGGGCAGAATGCTCAGCAGCTCCAACCTGACAGAATTAAATATAGCACATTTAAAATATTTGCGGGGAATTTAAATTAATAAAAAAATATATTCATAAAAAGGAAAAAATTACACAGAGTGGTAAAGATCGTAATACGCTTAAAAGCAGATTTCTGAAATCATTTCAGGACAAAAGTACTAATACGAAAATGTTGAGGGAGTCTATAATAATTTTTAAATTATAAACATTTAAAGTTATCGAATTATACTGTTTAGTTCAGGTAATGCGATAGAAAATCCAATCACATCTAAGCGCATGAACTTTATGCGGTATGATTCGCTAACTTTAAATGCTTATAATTCAAAAACTATTAGAGCCTCGACATTTTAGTATTAAAATTTTTATTTCAAAATGATCTCAAGAATTATGTAGCCTTGGCCATAAATATAAAACATTCTGACAATGTTTTACATCTAACGAAAAATAAATTAAAAATAAATTTATTAAAAAATAATATTTATTTGTATAACAATTTAGTATTTTATCAGTTTTCTTTTGGCTTTTATTTATTTATCGTGTTTTTTCCAATACATTATCAAGGGTGTTTTATACTATATGTATATAATTATATACCTATGGTTAAGACTGTATTATATTATACATATAAATATTTATTAATAATTGATAGACAAAATTTAAATAAAAAATAGGTCTGTATATTTTTATGTATAAAAAAATTTAATAAAAAAACGAGAGAACGAACCTTTGACGCAGCGATGCACTTGTAGAGACCACCATCATTGGTATGAATGCTCGAAATATTCAGATGAGACACGACATCACCATTGACCGTGACGTATTGTCCCACTTGCAGTCTCTCGGTGTTCGACAACCGTTTTCCATCAAGTTCCCAGGTAATTTCGGGGGTAGGATTTCCGCTGGCAACGCACTTCAAAAACATGCTCGGTCCAGGTTGAAGAGTCTCTTCGGCGAAGGCTTGACGGATCTGCGGGGGCTCGACTGTCAATAATCAAAGAGATGAAAAGATAATTTTTGACAATCACAGCGTTATCTTTTGTTTTCGTGACATCAGTTTTTCTAATTAACAATTTCAAATTTATTTACGATTGTCACTTCAACGAAATTATAGTAATTACATTAATCAAAAATTTTTATTAATTCGTGAAAATTTTTTACTTCTTACAAAATTATTACCAAAATTTTTAATTGATTTAATTGACCACACTGAAAAAAATTTCCGGTTGAAAATTAACAATCAGAAGATTCTAATCAATTAGTATTCTGGTAACTCAACTAGAATTATAATAGACTCAATCAGAAAGTTCTAATTTCTTCATTTTGAACCAAAATTTCAATCAATGAAACTTTCTTTTCCCAGTACACAGATAAACCAGTAAACCAGTTTACATACAAAATTGCCATTACTGTAATTAATAAAAATGCTTATTACTAATTTAATTATACCATTGGAGAAAAATATGATAAAATTTTAACTCACATCTTCCACCAAGTTTTAACTCTGCCGTTGCTTGTGCACTTTCCTGATCATTTCTAACAAAGCATTGGTACATTCCCTTGTCTTCTTTTTTCACACTTTCGATTCTCAGTACGCGATCTTCCAATCCAAGGGGCTTCCCATCTTTGAGCCAGGAGATGGTCTTGATCGGATTACCTTGAACGGTACAGGTGAAGGTCGCGGGTCTTCCAAAGTCGATAGTTTGCGTGCTAGGCTCGATTTCCGCGGTCAGTGGTGCCGTAACAGTCAGAACGGTCTCTACACTTTCGCCGCCGACGGAATTGTTGACGATACAAAGATATTTACCGGAATCTTCGACTCGAGCTTCACGGATGATCAGAGTGCCACTGACCTGACGTACGCGTTCATTCAGTTGAACCGGCTGACGCCTCGTTGTGCCCTCGATGAACTTGTACCATCTGAAACAAAAAAAATAAAAACTGCCGATTTTCACGCCAATGCCGGAACGAGATTTGCTCGTTCCGTACCTTTATTGCATTTGTTTATATAAATCAAAATTTGAATCGCAAAATGGAACAAGAATATATATACAGTTTATTTTATAAATTAAATTTCGTAAATTTTATTTTTTTATGTGAACAACTTATAAACAAATTCTTTATAGAAGAACATTTTTTAATTATTTTATTATAATAAGTACATAATTTACAATATTTTTATTATAATATATAGCTTCCCTTATAAAAATTTAATACTAATATTGGCCAGTAATCACTTATTTTTAGTATTAAAATTAACACAATACTGTTAACACAATACACTCTCTCTCTCTCTCTCTCTCTCTCTCTCTCTCT